GAAAATCTGTTCGCTATTTATTTAAAACAAATTAGCTATGGATATTTATGTTCCATGACTGGATGCCACACTGAATATGGGCATAAAGCAAATAAATCTGAGCATACCTGCAGACAAGAAGAGGTAATTTTCAGGCATTCCCCTCCCCCCAGACATTAAATAACTAAATGTACCCTTTCTCATTCTGATACATTCTAGCTTTGTTGGACTATAAGAACTATAATTCCTAGCCAGCATAGCCTACAGCTCTTTACTTGGGTGTGTATAAGTTACTTGAGGACTGTTTTTATAGAAATATATGTGTCTTTCCTCTTTTCAATTATTCCAATGAAATTTCATGGGCTTGAATTAGTCATGACATTGTTGCTTATGTCCAATTGTCACCTGTGACAGTGGTGCTAATATCTTTCCTCAGAACGATAGAAGCTCTAATAGAGCCCTCACAAATCACATTATGATGGCAGTCAATCTCAGTCTTTTGAGAGCCAGAATCACCATTTCCCAGACACAGAATTAGATGCTGCCATGGGAAATATTTGCAACTGCTTGAACCCTTGAGTTTAATGCCCCCTGGATATCTCAGGGGAAAAAAACAAATAAACAAGCTGTAGCCTTAAGACACCATCAAGAAAAACCAGGGTCTCTGACTGCAGGAAAGCTGGTCAGCAGCTACTTGAGCATCAGACTTTGTCACCCAGCAGATGCTATACCCAGCAGGATGGAAACCTCACTTGTGGGGAAACACTCCAGGCCTCCATTAGATCAACCAGAGAAACAGAAATTCCTTGTAGGATTTGTGCATCTGGAATTTATAAACATCAGTCTGCAATCACCATCATTGGATCAGGTGAGGCTGTTTGGTGAAACTGAAGGTGTAGTCTCATTTGCAGCACAGAAAGCAGGTGGTAATGAAACTCATTCATTAATTCCTTAGGGACAAACTTCCTGTGAAGCACATGCAACATATATAAAAAGCCAGACAAGTCTTTAATTGCATCCTTGTGGCCATCAGCTTGACTTGACTGAGCATACCCTGCTCAGTTCTCTTGTTTTTGTAAACTTCAACTCAGACATAAGCTACCAGATTCAGGGTGGAAGAGAACCTTAAACTCTTGCCACGTGTTGTCCCCCTGAATTAAATCCCTTGCTCCATTTGCTGTTTCCCTGAAGTATTTCAGGAAAATATTTATCAGTGTTTACTGATAGGAGAGCCTGTCAGAGACACCCAGCATCAATTCACCTAAATGGTGAGTCTGCATTTGGAGTCCTTTCATTTGCTAACATGGAAGACTGTTATTGAAAACAACTTTTATTTTGCGAGGAACTGACTCTATTGAACAAGCCAAAGAAAAAAAGAAAAAGCAGGGATTGGCAAAGATATCAGATTTTATATCCTGGTGAAGGTGTGGATACAGCTTTTCTCACTTCCAGAGAAAGAACTCCAAGGGCTGACTCAAACTAAAAAGAAACCCATCGTCTGCTTCTGATAAGAAAAGGCCATTTTTCCTCAGTTTTCACACTTCGCCACATTTTCTTACATTAAAAATGGGGACTTTAGAAAAGCATTTGTATAAATGAGAGCTTTCTTTCTGGGAATAAGATCATCTGAGATGTTACTGTGGGGATCTCAAATGAAATAACACAAGGTCACCTACATCTACTATTATTTTTTAAAGGAGATGGGGAGGGAGGAAGAAGAGGAGAAGTAGCAATCCTAATGATATTGTTCATATCTTATCTTGTTTATAATAGCCAGAACTGAGCCAGTTTAGAAAACTTGCTTGTCACCAAACAAAGGGAGAAGGAGAGCCATGTCAGACATCACATGATTAGTATCAGCAACAAGTACTAATAGAGGTACTAAGAGAGCTAAGAAATTTCAAGGTTGTTTGTTTGTTTTTTAAGAAAAATACTTGCATGGGGAAAAGAGGTATTAATGGCTGGTGTGATAGAAATGGTATATTCCTGATGCTGATAAACTATAACTTCTAGCTCATATAATTTCTGTCTCTCATATAGATTATGCTGGAGCAGAGATTGCTGGGGTTTGAAATTTAGTAATATTCCAGTTCCTCAGAGACAATGAGAAGGAAAGCTTTACTTGACTAAAATCTCTTCTAGCTCCTAGTAAACCAACTCAGGCAAAAGGAAAGAGAATGAGAGAGATTTGTACATAATAAAATTAAATATGATTAATTGTCTTATACCAGGTCAAGGACTTTTTCTATGAAGCCATTTTATGTCTATCTTCACAGTTAATCTCTCACAGGCAGGTTTCATATATATATAAAATTTGTTGGAAGATTATTTTACTTGGGGATGCTGGGTCTTAAGCCTAGGTTGTACATGCAAACCCAGAGTTTTACGATAATGACATATCTAAAGAATAACTGGTCCTGCACCAGTTCATGAAGTCAGTATCTTAGAACTGTCATCTCTAACCTGGGTAGTCTGAAAATTTTAGGGAGCATGAAGCTGGGAGAGCTTTTTAAAGTATGGTTCTCTCTCCTTAATTTTGACCTAATTTGTTCCATCTAATATGGTTCCATACAACTTATACAATTTTCTTTAAATATTCATGATTGCTCATGTGCATGTAAAGGAGTAAAAAAAAGGAAGATCTAAAATCTTTTGGGGTCCCCAAGTAACTCTTTAGTTTAGACCAAGAGTAGCTAAGCCTGCCAGCATTCAATTTGTAGTCCCCAAAACCCACCAAACTGGGCAAGGCTGAAGTTTATGGGCCTTTACTTATTTGGAAGTCTGTTTAGGGGGCAAGATAAAATCCCCAGGATCCACTTTTCATATCTGGGGAAGTTTAAGTGACAAACTGGTCCAATTTCGTCAAATAAAAAAACTTCCATGGCTCCAAAATAAAAACAAAAAATAAAATAAATCATTCAATTCTGTCCACTCTTGGGTCATTATATCTTCTCTGACTTCACTCTTTGTGGTTCCAGGCAGAACACAGGCCTGAAGTGTGACCAACAGGAAAAAGGTTACCCTCTTCCATTTAGGGAATGGGATCATCTCCCAAGAATTAAGTTGTCAATCTCTTATCTAATTTAGATGTCACATTACTTGCTCTGTCATAAGCACTAAGCTTATATAATGATATTGATTATGCTGGCTTGAAATCAGGCATGGGGATCACCCAGTCCATGCAGATTTTATTTACTAATGTAGTAGCAACAAGATGCCCAGCCACACCAAAGTAATTTTTATGATGCCCTGGTGAGGTGTGAATTGCACTCCTCCTACCCACACTGAACATGTACGTGCAAACAAACATACACAAAGGAGGAGATACAGAGAGAGAGAGAGAGAGAGAGAGAGAGAGAGAGAGATCTCATGAGTTAGTGACCTCCTTATCATACTTCATATCTAAAACAATGCCATCACATCTGGCCACTTCAACTTATGGAATAATTTCATAGAATTATTTCCATAGACATGATTTCCATAGAAAAATTGCTTGGATTTTTTTCATACTGTCTGCTTTTATTCTTGCCATTTAAATTTAGACTCATGCCCTTTAAATAACATGTTGAGCACTAACTATTCCACTATGTTCTTATTAATATCCAAGTAGAAATGTCAGAGGGCATATTGAGTTTTGTATGAGTCACTTTATACTTCCTTATTCTTGGTAAGGAAAATGGAGAGCACAATGGCTGGTTTTTGGTCGCTAGAAAGAATCTCAGAAACATCATAAAACAAGTGCCAGTCCTTGCAATGTTCTAAAGCTCTGTGTATCTTCAGAAACATTGTGTTGACTAGGTTTCTTACAGTAGCTGCATCTTGCATCAGCTGGTCTTGCTTGTCAGCAGCTGCATAGAAAAGGAGAGTAAAAAGTGGACCCATGCAGTTTGGCAAGAAGAAAGGCCATGCCTTCTGGGAGAGTGGTGGGGTAGAAAGAAGGTCTGCTCACTGGCGGGCCTAGCCAGCCAAGGCCTCTCAAGGCCACAGCAGGTTTCTGCACCCTGGTGGGCCTAGCCATGAAGTTCCCATGCTGCTAGGCATCAAGCCTCTTAGGGCCTCCCCCACCCTCTGAGGCATGCGGTTATTTAACAACTGCAATGAAGGAGCTGGGATTGTAGTCATTGAGCGAGGCTATCATAAGGGCACCTTAGTTAACAACTCTACTGACATACAACACAAATTGTGGGCTAAATTGTGGTGGGTAAAGTATCAAGGACTACCTGAAACCATACTGAACCAGTCTAGAAAAGTGAGAGGAAGTTTCTGTTGCATCAAGTATCATGCTTATCACTGAGCAAAGTCCTCCCCAGGCCAAAAACAACAGTCAGAGAAGGAATTCATTAAGAAGGGAGAGCAAAATTTGGGTTGTTTGTCTAAGATCACAGCTTGCAACAAACTGTCATTTAAAGAAAACAATTCCATAGAAACTGGAGCTTGATCTTTGCTCAGGCGAACAGGTTCCTGAGACAAAAAAAAATATTCTAGAATATATAAATCTGCATAAATGTATATTAATGTTAATCCATAGTGCTATCTCCCAAGAATCACAGCAAAAAATACAAAAAAGAACAGGGGAAAAAAACAGAAAACTGTTGTTTGGAAGAGGTTTTTTTTTTTGTAATGAAGCAGTTTTCAATCCAGTAATTTCAAATGCTTCCTATTCTCAGTTGTGTCTTTATGTTGCATATAAAATAATTTTAAGAAATTAAGTTAACTAACAAATAGTAACTCTCTACTTATCAGTCAAAAAACGGAACACAAAGTAGATTTCCTCTTTCATAGCACCCAAATTTGATGAATGAAAGAAAACCCAGGCCCTCTGGAAACAGCAACCCTGTCAGGAGTGCAAAATACAGAAGACGATTAGCTGGTAGCCAAGATTTAAGAATTCTGTTTCTCTTTGCTACCACTTAGCAGGTGTCTGGAAATTTGCAGTCTAGCTACAATAGCCCTACTCCAGGACATTTTCTTGGTTTGGGAGGGTATACCCAGTCTCCCAAAATAAGAACCAGGACGACTGGTCATTCTATCCTTTGCTCTATTCTGTCCTTTTTATTAGGTGTTCAGTTTCATCCATTGGTATGTACTGATGTCTTCTGTCTTACTGAAGAAGTACCGAGGCAGAACTTGAGTCTAAAGTAAATATATATCCAATAATAATGATGGAAGGTCCAAGGACTTGTGTAAAGTTTTGAGGGTCAAAGCACAAGCTTCAGTTGTAGGATTTCTCAAATGGGCCATGTGCAGCTTTTATATATTAGAAAAAAGTGTAGGCAGCAGGCAGCAGTCCATCTTCAATATGTAATCTATAGAACACATTCAGAAACAGACCATAAATGGAGCAATACTCAGACTTCCAGCACAGTTATTATTTTTTCTGCTTTTTACAAACCCAATTTGCCCTTTAAAAATCCTTAAATTCCTACCTCAAAGAACCCTGGAAATATTTGCCTCCCCCCATGTCTTCATCACCTCACCAGTCATTTCCCTTCCAGGCCTTATAGTTAAAAACAATAATCAAAGAATTAACTATATTCTCCAGACCCCCAAATCCTCCCATTCCCTCATTTTACATTATCATTCAGTGGCCAAGAGATGCTGTTTGATTCTGACCACTGGATAGAATTATTTTCCCCAATATATTGCCCTCCTGATGCAATGAATACAACCCCCATAATTCCCAGATCACCTGCTTCTCAGAATTATGGGAGTTAGTCCAACGTATCTGAAGCTCCGCTCTACAGCTTCCCAATTCAGACTCTTTTAAATATCTCCTTCAAGTCTTCAGCTACAGTCATTGACCAAATACTTCCTTTGAGACCCACCAACTAGCAGAATAGACTTCAAGGGAGGAAACTCTAGCCCTGAATTACACACATGCTTTGGGGCTCATTGCTAAGGGCATAATTAAATACCAAATGATGAGTAAAATTGAGAATAGAGAAAGGGCAGCTTGTCCAAGCATAGATTCTGTTCTGCTCAATTATCCTACTTAACTACCCTCCTATTCAAAGCATCTTGTTTTGTGTGTCCTGATTATTATGTCCATATCTATATAGTTTTCTCAACATGAATTCAGAAGTAGTTTGCAACTGCTGATAAAATATCCACAGCCCTTGTGTTTTTCTAGTGGTCTTCCAACTAAATATTTCTCAGATCTATCTTTCCTTAGCCTTTTCAAGATCAGTGAGATTGAGTAAGTACTGCCTCCTCCTCTACCCCATTAAAGAGAGTTCTCTATAAGCTTTATTCTGTAAAATTCTGTCTTTACCTTTGGCATTGTTTAGATGTTTATGTGTTCATAATAAGTTCATTTTTTCTAGTGAACAACAGTGCACTTTACTCAGACCTCTGCTGAGATGATTATATGCAATGATACTTATATTCATTTCTTTATTCCTTCAACTATAATAAGCCAGTCTTGCCTTTGCTCCATGATACTATTGTTAATGACAATATCATATCCCACATCTGATGTCCTTCAGAAGCCATGTTGTCTATCTGAATATCTATCAAACTACCTACGCTCTTACCTACCGTGTTACGTATCTGAATATCTGTTTATTTATCTACCATGCATGACCCTGTAAAAACATCCTAGATGAAAACAACATCAAGCCATCTTTGTATTGTTGCTAGGTAAATTAATGGAAGTGCCTATGTAGTCACCAGAAGTTGAGTTCAATACAAGTCCCATTATTTTTACAAATTAGTCTCATCAATAAAGATTAAAGTATACAAGAGGAACATCCAGCCCTCTCATTGAATAATGAGTATGTATGGCTTCTTCCTTCTCCTCCCTCCATTTTTCTTTACATGTCAGATATTTTAGTCTGTCTGCCTAAGATCAGGACTATGATGCCAATAGGCTTCATAAATCTGTCTGGATGCATTATTTCTTGACTAAAGAGAAGAATAAAAGGCTCTCAGTATATAATATATATATATTAAAAAAAACACCAATGTGTTATGTAGTCCAACAAATTTACAACCAAGATAGTTGGTTTCTTTGTTTCTCCTTCAGGCAATAATCTAAAAAGGAACTTAGAATTTGTTTATGGAGATCTTTGGAATATGTCAGCTTTTGTACTCTATTGCTGATTATTCATTGATGTTATTATATCATCTCGATTGGACCTGTTCCCTTTTGGAATACTGCAATAGGAAGGGGTGGGGGGAATGTAGACTCAGAGATCAGAAGGGACAGCTAGGAGGTGCCATCTCCAGCTGAACAGTCAGTGATTCAGGTGATTTAATGATTTAAGGGTTTTGAGCCAAAAAACACATTTCCAGATGGAGCAGAGAAATTCTCTAACATGGCAACTGTCCCTGCGTCAATGTTTGTGTTTTTCTTAATCCCCACCATCAAGCAACATCTTTGTTGTGGCAGCTATACGTGATTAAGATAAGGAAAGGTTGCTGTCACAAGCATGTAATTACAGGTTTCCTGTGTCACTCCCTGTTGGGAGGTCAGTGACTCTCCCTTCTCTGTCAGCAGAAGGGGAATGGCAGGTCAGGAAGAGGAATCTGCCAGGCTAACTTCTTGCTAACTTTGGAAGGGGGAGGGGGGAGCTTGGATCTTCAGTGCCATAGTTGGAAGACAGAATGGCTATTCAAGCAGAATGACAACGTCACTGAAGTCAAAAGCCAAGCAGAGCAAGCAGCGGAGGAAAGCAGGTGCAGAAAAGGGAAAAGGAGAATCAAATGAGGCAGGGAAGGAGGGGGGAGGAGAATGCAGCACCCTGGAGGTTTTTATGCTGGGGCCCACCAAAAACTGGAAAGAAAAAGCCAAGCAGACACTTAAAAGCTAGCTGATGTAATGCAACATAATCAATGGATCGATTGGACTAAACATAGAACATAGAATAACCGAATTGGAAGGGACCTTGGAGGTCATCTTCTAATCCAACCCCATGCTTGAGCAGGACACCTTATGGCCTATGCCATTTCAGACAAATGGCTGTCCAGTCTCTTCTTGAAAGCCTTCAGTGATAAGGCAACCACAACATCTGAAGGCAAGCCATTCCACTGACTGGTTGTTCTCATCATCAGGAAATTTCTCCTTAGTTTTAGATTGCTTCTCTCCTTGATTAGCTTCCATTCATTGTTTCTTGTCTTGCCTTCTAGTGCTTTGGAGAATAAGTTGACCCTCCTCATCTTTGTGACAGACCCTCAAAAACTGAAAGACTGCTTTCATGTCTCCCCTAGTCCTTCATGTCACTAGACTAATTCACATACCCAGTTCCTGCAACTGTTCTTTAGCCTCCAGCCCCTTAATCATGCTTGTTGCTCTTCTCTGCACTCTTTCCAGAGTCTCAATATCTTTTTTATATATTGTGGTGACCAGAACTGGATGCAATATTCTAAGTGTGGTCTTATTAAGGCTTTGTAAAGCCATACTAAGTCTTCATGTGATCTTGATTCTATTCTTCTGTTAATGCAGCCTAGGATTGAATTGGCTTTTTTGACTGGTGTTGCATATTATTAGCTCATATGGAAGTGATTGAAACGTGCAGACATGACAGAAGCAAAGATGGCTCAGTTGAATGTAAAGATATGGATAAGCACAATGACAGACCATCAGCAGGCAGAAGCATAGTGCTTCACTTTGCGTGTTTGTTAGAACTTAAATATAAGGAAATTAAGAACAATTTAAAACAAACTTTCTGCAAAGACCAAGATAGCTGCATATTTATCGGTCCTGTTGTTTTAATGTCCTCTGTGTTTATTTTACATGTACCGTATTTTCTGGCGTATAAGACGACTCGGCGTATAAGATGACCCCCAACTTTTGAGAAGATTTTCATGGTTTAGAAAGTCATCTTATACGCCGGAAAATACGGTATATCCAAGCTTTTGCATAATTATCACATCCTTCATTTCACCTTTTCATGCTATGAATGCTTAGTAATTTTTTAAATTTCTCACGAGCATTACATATCGTTGCCTCCAGTGCATCACATCTGATAAAGTGAACTGTGGTGCACAACTTTTGCCACAATAAGGTTTGGCTGGTTTTTAAGCATTTATTTGTCTACTGAGGTATATACAAATTAAGTACATGAAAACATCTCAGCCTGGCGCCCCCAAGGCTGCAGAGGTGGTGCCAAGCATACCTCTTTTTTTGAGAGTGCATTCCATTACTAGATTGTCATTATTGAGTTCCCTCTCCTTTGCAGTTATAGAGGCCACTTTCCAATCAGAAAAGTATTTGGAGCAGAACGTTGGCAGACTTCAGATATAGACAAGCTGGTATGGAAACTGGCTCTCCTTCAGCAATTTGGGTCCAAAAGCATTTTAGAGCTCTAAAGGTAAGTGTTGGGGTAGCCTCTAGCCTCTGTCTAGACCTTGTAGCACCAGATTCAAATGATTATTTTGATCACTTTAACTTTTTAGTAGTTAAAACTTACCAGCAAATAAATAGTTAAATGCCAATGATCTATAGTCAGACCTAAAGTTTTTCTTGGCAACCAGAAATATGTTGTTTTTGCTCACCTTTATGCCAGCCAGTGCAAATATTTTTTTGATTTGCCAAGAGGCAGACATCTCTCTCCAAATAAAGAATAATAAAAGGAATTGCCGGATTAGAATATGAAATCATAACTTTACAAGTGACAGTGCAAATATAAACCAGTTCCAGAGATACAGAATCTGATTTCACTTGCAGTTTAGATGTGTACATCTGTCTACTTGATTTATCAAGCAATTCAAGAAGATAACCACAATACCTTTGGCTTTATCTGGAAACAAATAAGGCCCAGTTGTAAGAACCACTGGAATGATATGAACAAACCTAGCTGTGCTGATTAAAAATTCCAGCCAATAAATTCTTCTTGAAATGGGAGTTTCAAATTGTCGTTTTATCTTTTGTTATAAGAATGGCCAGTTTTGGTACATTAAAGTGTAACTGCTATCCCAAAAACTGGGTTAGAATCTTCCTTAACTGGGGTCATTGTTATTACTGTTGTCATATGCAATCATTATTTTTGTTTGTTCTTTAACTGAAGGAAGCACTGAAAAGTAAGATGTGCCACTGTTTCTGGCCCTTGGCTGTAATAAAGATTTATTTGTAATAAAATTCACTCATTCTTAGCTCTACCAGTGATTTATAGTAGTATAATACAATCTACCATCTCTTTTGCTGCCCATAAATCTGGTGGCAATCACATGAGTCTTCACACTTGAAAAACTGATTTGGACCTCATGTGATTGCCACTAGCCCTCAATCCACCCAGGTATTTTGGACAACTATCAATCAGGGGATAAGGGAAGCTAGTAGAGCACCAATTATAAGCAACCTTTGATGAACAAGATGATCTGGACTCTTCCAGTCTGCTTTCAATTGCTGGCATGAGATGGAAACCATTGATTGTTCTTGCAGATAATCTATAGTGAGATTTAGATGGAGATTATATCCCTCCTTGATCTGCTTGAACTCTCAATGGTGTTCATTACCATCAACAAAGGTATCCTGTTGTATCACCTGTGAGAGTTAGGAATTGAGATACTCCTTTACAATAGCTCTGCTCCTTCCTGAGTGGATGGTTCCATTTGGCGTTGGAGGAGAAGTAGAGCTTGGGCTCTTCAGTGGAAGGTGCTCAACCCTCACCTCCCTCTTGTTTAATATCTGCTTGAAACAGCTGTGAAACTTCATCCCAGTGGTATCCACAGTAACAATCACTGACTTCAAAAATGGTGGGTGTGACCGATTGATCATAATTCCACCTCTTTGGAAGTACAAAACTTTGATCTTCTGGCCTCCCCCATCATTTTGAAGCCAGTGACCATCAGTATGGATGATCATTCGTTAATTTGGGGCAAAGAGGAAGGCTTAAATAACCTTAAAGAAAGAATGCAGGAATGGTTAAGGCAAAGTAAGAGAGAATTCAGTCCTGGGAAAGGAGAAGGCGTAAGAAAGAAACTCAAAATAACTCCACCCTGAGTCTCTTTGGTATAGGAACTCTGGCAGGCTTTCAAGATTCTGTTATTATATCCATCAACAATAAAGCAGCATGCCTGTAATACTTGTGCTGTCTATTTCCTAATCTGGCCTATCTCAAAGGGCTCACAAGTATCATCAGTATTCTGAGAATGCCCAGTTTCACTTCTACACCACAGGCTGAGCAGGAGATTTATTTCCTGGAGGCTGTGAGAGGTTGATCAGGACAGAGAGCATCCTTAGGATGACTCCCCAAAAAATGGGAATGCTATTCATCAGGAAGCACTTTGGTATCCGAACATTCTGTCTTTAGTTCTAGATTGGATGGCACTATCCTTGAAAGAGAAAACCCTCATGTTGGGTGCCAGTACAGAAGGTGGAGATCATAGCCTGGAGAGCCATAGCCCAATTTTGGTTGAGGTGCCAGACTTTTCTGTATCAAAAAAAACCTTGGCAATGGTAACTTGTTGATACTTGCCTGGATTACTGCAATTCATTCTGCATGCTGCCCTGGGAGGCAATGGAGAAGGTTCCGTTAACCCTGAATATAGTTGCTTACTTGTTAACTGGCAATATGAGTACAATAAATTAATACCAATTTCACAGAATGAGGGCTGACTACTAATATTCTTGGGTGTCCAATTCAAAGTGGTGAGTATTTGCTACAAAGTCCTATATGGCTTCGCTCCTGGGCCATCTGATCCAAACAGAGATGGTAAGATCATATAGGCAGCCTGAGACGCTCTCTCCTGGGAGCAGTCAAACAGAGGAGGTGTCAAGAATCAAGTCTTCCTTGGTGTCCTCCTTGGTGTTGCCTCCTGAGGTGAGCATGGCCCTTACCCCGTTGCCCTTCCAAAAAATATTCAAGGCCAGCCTATTTTAGTGGGCCTTCAGCGCTAGGGTTGCTCTTTAGTGGAAGCTGCTGGATTATTGTATAGACTAGAGGAAAGTATTTGAAGACTGGGGCTATGCAATGGGTTTTTATTTCACTTTATGGATCTTGTGGCATCAGCATCCACAGAAATGTTCTGCCTTGGTCAAAATGCTGAAAGCCGCATTAGCCCACTTGCTTAACCCATTCTGTACATTCTGAGACATGATAATGCATGTACAAAAGGGATAAAGCTTGTGATAGTACAATGCTGCCTTTGTCATTCTTACCCCCCTCCCCTCAGGTACCACTGCTTATAGGTTGTGATGTTGTTCTAATATTATATAATGATAGTTTGGGTTGATTTTTCTAGGCGTCTCTTATGGCCCCAGGAGAAGGTAGCAAAAAATTAAATATAATAAACAAACCAACAAAATCAGGCTTCTATATAAACCTGGGGAAAAAAATGCCGTTGTTTTGAGGAATCTATTCGTTAAGGATTGTGTAACTCTTAAAACAGCCACACCTTTCAGTGAAACATGTGTCCCTGCCTGAACCCTTCCTTCTTGGCTCAGAATCGCCATCCATGATCCATTCCAGGGACACAAAGTGAAACATTAGCAAACCTAAGACCCATAAAAGCATTTTGAGGTATCAGTAGGCTTTTGCAGTATGCGCCCACTGTATAAAAATGAAGTGGAGATACAAAGGCTACAAATTACCTTGCTGAAATTACCAAACTTTCAGCAATGTTTGCCAGTATATTTATCCTTTTGTAGTTCTGGTTAACAGATTTTGTTTTACTTGTAAAATGAATCACTAATTGCAGTAAAGTCTGGTAAAGAATTCATTTATCTATCTAACCATTTTTCTGTCTTACAAGCCTGCCTTAAAATCAGGAAACCAGGATAGGGAGATTGAAAATAAAGTGCATTTATTTTTTGCACTTTTATTCGTCTGAACCAGTATAGAAATAAACACTTGTGGTAAAATGTCTGTCTGTACTGATTCATGAATATCAACAATGCAATCAAAGGACTGTTTCTTTCTCCAAATCCATATAATTATGGCTTCTATATAGAAAAGGAAAACAACTCCTTAAGGCTGCCACAATCATGTACATTAATTGAGAATAAGCCCCACTAAAATGTATAAGAGTGATGTTTGTATTGTTGTACGTTCACTACTGACCACTTGCTGCCTTACCTCCTTTAATTCCTTTGCCATATATTCATGTCCATATCATATAGCCCATCCTTGCCAGACAGATTCAAATCACCCACTGCTATTGATGAATGTGGAAAGCTCCAAATGTTTCCTTATTGTTTACTCAATATAGCCAGAGCAGACATGTCGTCCATTGAGAAACAGGATAGCTATTCTGCTAGAGCTTTTATATAATGTGCCAGTGGAAAAACGCTATTTTGCATTCAAAATCAGTCTTTACATTTGCAGATTTGGGCAGAAAGCAAAGAAAGCCAAGCCCAGCAGCCTTTTGGGGTAAAGGGGCCTCAGGGACCTCTGCCTCAGCTTGTTGAAGCCTAGTAGCACAGTTTTAAACTTATCTACTCAAAGCTCATCCCTACTGAGTTCGACTGGATGTTCCTCCAACGTAATTTGGCTGTTACAGCCCAAAGGTGAGATATGAATTCAAAAGTATACGGTCAGAAGGAAAAGCTGGTGTTGTCAGGCTTAGAATGGAATTTCCAAGAGCAAGTGCTTTCTCTTTCCTATATTGAAAGGGGAAAAAGTGAAAGACTTTCCTTTTTTAAAACATGCAAGAAAAGGAAGACAAAAACAAAATGACAAACACCACACACTCATGCACACACACATACTGTACCTATTCTTCAAACCTCTTAGTAAGAATTACAATTGGCATCAGATCATTTAAACTGTCTTTAAATCCATACAGTTGCCATTTTTATACGTGCAGAGAGGGGAAGTCTCATAGTACTGATCATGCTATTTTCTTATATTCAAGAACAGATGTGGACTTTGTGAATGTATAATGATCTGTGCATAGAGCATTCTCTGACTAACTACAAGCACTCACTTTCCAAGTCTTCTGGTTACACCAAAAGAGCCCTGTACATAAGGACTGAAGACCAACCCCAGTGTGTTATGTTGCACCGAAAGATAGACAAGCAGAAGCAAAAGACAGATGATTTTATTTTTCTTCCAAACGTATTGGTAGGGTTTGCCCCATGATTTTGATTCCATCAGTACAACATCACTAAAATTGCCTTCTTAAGGTTTACGAACCATTTCTTCTCAAACTACAATTCTGTTCAGAAAGAGAAGGTGTGGCATTGATCTTAGATAAAGAATAAGCAACCTGATACTCTTCATGGTTTGGATTACAACTACCACCATTTTTTGTGATTTACCATGCTGCCATGGACCAATGGGAATTGAAGACAAATATCTGGAGAACATCAGATGACCCTTTTTCTAGCCATCTAAAAATAGAGGTTACTCCATAGCATCACTTTCTTATCAGATTTGGGGTAAAAAAAAATTATTATTTTTTCCCTGTAGGACCCAAATGTGTATGACTGCCTTCAGTCTGGAAAAATAATAAAATTTCTATTATAATTAGAACCATGAATTTGCAAGACCTTTAAGGGGTAGTAATTCTTTATTTGAATGCATAGTGTAGAATAATCATATGTCTTTTTCATTCCAATACATTATAGAAGTTAATAGGTTTGCCCAACTACATTTTAATCAGGAAAATTAATTATTTTTAATTATTAAAATTAAATATTTTTTCATATGAAAGCTGTACCTTTGAAAGAGAAAAACTAGTGTTTGTTACATCTGTAAAAACTTAACTACTAACTTGTCAGTCTGCCTGAAGTATTTAAGTGGAACTAACAATGGCACTGCTTTCAAAATATATATCCATATTAATGCAATGGAAAGTTAGTTGGCAAAGGAAGAAAGCCAGAATAAGACTGAAGGAAACAGAAGCTTTGACCTATTAGAGGGGATGTTATATCACCAATTAGATGTTTGAATATGGTTAAGAATAGATTGCTAGAATTAAAAGTATTATTATAATTAGATAGATAGGATTTGTAATCAGAATATCATATCTTGGTTTGAAAAGGGAAATAAGAATATGCTAAGAACTTTGAATAAGAGAAGCTTTTGATTACCCAAATATAACTTGTTCTGAAATTATAAATGATTGGGATATTTTGAACATGGGGAATTAAAATTGAAAAAAGCAAAAATAGGATATAAACTGAATAAATGGTATTGAGTGCAAATGCAATTAAGATATGCTTTGGTTAGAAAAGATATTCTAAACTGATATTATTGACACTATTAGAAAAATATAACAAAGGTTGATAGGCAATTATATATTTACTCACAACCAGGGCTTTTTTTCTCATAGAACACACAGAATGGAGTTCCGGCACCTTTTTTGGATGAAACCATGTAGGGTAGGCAAGGCGGGTTGTATGACATGTGTGAGTTCCAGCACATTTTTTTTTAGAAAAAAAGCATTGCTCACAACAATAAGAATTATATTTGCTTAGTGTGGAAAAATGTCTATTACCAGAAGAACAGAGGATGTACTGGAGGATCTAATATTGGATTTAGTTTGAAGAAGCTTACATGTGCCACAGAATCACTAATGGACTAAATCATCACGTTGTCTATTAGGCACTTCATTGTAAAAATAGAAAATTAATAAAATATTTATATAAAAAATATGTCTTGTGTACCCAAAAAGTTGATAATCCCTGTTTTACCCATTCAAGGTTGATGTTCTTCTGCAATCTCTGTTCATTCTTATAGAAATCTTTAGTTATAGTAATCTATTCCATTCATTATTCCAATAATGTAGAGCAACAGAGATATCTTATTCATAGAAAGGAGCAAAACTACTCCATGAACTTTGATGTCCTTCCAAAGCAATGATTTCACCTTCTACTAAAAAGCTTCAGGCCCCCAGGGAAATTACATGCTCCTCTGAACACTGCCCATTTTTTCGCACTATTTGTACCCGGAACTTCAGTTTGTATAAAACTTACATAATAATTTCCCACAACTCTGTCTGTTTGTTTTTTTATTCCATTCCCAGAAAAGGCAGGAGAAGTGAGGTACCGCTAGAAAAACCATAAGAAAAAAGGGAGGAAACAGATTGTATGGGGATATATTCAGTCTCCCAGAGTCACATGTCAAAATGAGAGTTGTGAAGGAAATTCACCATGGATTTTTTTTTAAGCGAAATAGTGTGAGGGAGCAAGGTGGCATCCTTTATGGCACAAAGGGGAAATTTAGACCATCTGCTATAGTCTGGAAATATTCATTAGCTCACAACTGCATACAAAAATGTGAACATCTGGGAAAATTCAATACAAGGAAGCATCAACTCAAAAGACATATGATAATAACACAATTCCCTCCCCACTTTATGCATCAGCTGATATTAGTTTAACCACTGCCATCATCTCAGAACTATTGGTTTGTCTAGACCAGAGGTCTGCAACCTATGGGCCGCGGCCCACTACTGGGCCACAGGACCATGTGAGTGGCTCACTGTGACTCTCACACCAGCGCTAGCCTTGCCACTACCCTTGTGCCGGCACTAGCTTCACCACAACTTTCGTGCCAGCAGTAGCAGCCCTATTTGCAGAGCACACATGCTCGCGGCCCCGTTTGCACACACATACCACAGCCACATTTGCATGTGTGCACATGCACATATAAAGGTGCCTGCCCCTCCCTGTCCCACTGGGTCACCAACCCAGAAAGGTTAGGACCCCTGGTCTAGACTCCAGTATATTTATATTAAGGTGCAGAAAAATGCTTCAGAATTTTGCATGCAAATGATCTGCAATAAATATAGCAATCAATACTGAACACAGATGGGGACATCTAATATTTCTACATTGAGAATCGCATATCACACACAAGCATATCTATCACTGCTTTATACAAAATTAATCACTTTCCCTGAAGCACAATGTAGGCTTTTGCATTTGTTTTTCCTAGTTTTTATTTGCTCACCAAAAACCCATACAGGTAATCCTCAACTTACGACCACAACTGAGCGCCAAATTACTATTGTTAAGTGAGACATTTGTTAAATGAGTCTTGCCCCATTTTACGACTTTTCTTGCCAGAGTTATTAAGTGAATCACTGCAGTTGATAAGTCAGTAGCCGGGTTGTTAAGTGAATCTGGCTTCCCCATTGACTTTGCTTGTCAGCAGGCCACAAAAGTTGATCACATGCAAAGGTCATAAATATGAACCAGTTGTCAAGCATCTGAATTTTGAGCACATGATCATGGGGATTCTGCAAAGGCTGTATCTGAAAAACGGTCATAAGTCACATTTTTCAGTTCCGTTGTAACTTTGAACGGTCACTAAACAAAAGGTTGCAAGTTGAGGATTACCTGTACTGACATTTCTTAACCCCTTATTTTATGATAGGTTTTGCATTCTTCATGTCATGCTCCTAGTTGGGATGAGGCTTCTTCCCGAAGCTATCTTCCTTCTCCCAAGTTGTTTTATTTACGTTTATTTGTGGATGTGGGGTTTTTTTAAACAACAAAAGCTGGTGACTTTGAGGAAACTTTTAAAAAACGGAGAAGCTGCTAGAAACAAAGTGAGCAAGTCCACATAGCTTACAGTATATTTATTTAGCATATTGCAATGGCAGTATATAAATGACGTAAATAAATAAATTTATTTGCAAGTAAGCAAATCCGAAACCATGAGTTTAAAGAATTTTTAATATATAAGCAGCCCTAGGCCACTCTTAATATGGGTGAATTCACATTTAAGATGAGTTTGCATTGCATTGTATCTGATTAGGAAGACAGAGAAAATGGGATTCGAGGCTCAAATCTAGTTTCAAATCTATTATTATTATTATGGTAGAATAATAAATGAAGAATAATAAAACAGAACATTATTTTACCACTCAAGAGGGCAAAGATATCCAACATGCCTACCTCCTCCTATTTTCTCCACAACAACACCCTGTGATATGAGTTGGGCTAAGGAGAATGGCTGACCCCAAAGTCACCCAACTGGCTTTCATGGTCTCCTGCTTTCTAGCATAGTTCCTTAACATTTATAAATGGTCAGAATTGCAGCCAAAAGCACCCAGATTGGGAAATGCTATTGTAAAGTTTGCTTTTCTGAGGGATCTCCTTAAACAATGGTGTGCTCTCTTTGAGATTATATGTGGATTAAGTGGGAGTTCTTCCTTATTTGCTTTGTCAGGAATTGCTCATGCAACTTGTCTCCCAGTGTGCATCTTCCTGGCTGCTTTTCCATAGGTGTATAGAAATTCACTTCAACTGTTGCATCATGTTGAAAGGAAATATATTCACCCCTTTGGCTACACACCCAGCCATCCAGAGTAGTCAGGTTACACTTCTCTTTATAAACAGCTCTAAAATGTGTCATCAGCTCCAAAATGCTATCAAGAAAGGAGTGTTTTGTTTAATCATACTCCTTTATGACTTGCTCTTTAGAAGACACAGATATTTGGCTCCTTCTTAAGTCATTCGGTATTCAGACTTCAGTTGTCCAGTCTATGCCAAGACCAAAACAAGACCCAGAGGGAAGGAAAAGGTTATACAACATAACACAAACATTTGGGTCTGAGTGTACAAAGAAATGAGGGCTGGTGGCAGTAATTGCAGTAGTCTCAATTGACCTGTTCTTTAATGCTCTTTTTCAAAAGTTTGCAAAGCTAGTTCATACAGTGACAAGGGATGCCGTGGTCATATTTAAAATTCTACAAAGGGCAATTTTTGCATTTATACAGAATATATACCAGATTAGAAACTGGGAGACTGTGAGTTGTAGTCCCACCTTAACCATGAAACCCGGTTGCTCTCTCTCAGCCCAAATCACCCCACAGGGTTGGTGTTGTGAGCAAAATAGGAGGAAGAAGGAGCATTATATAAATTTGCCGCATTGAGTTGTTTTTATAAAAATAATCATAAAAGCAGAATATAAATAAATAAATATCAAACAAACCAGCATATTTTTAACTATGGCTCACTGCGCAGGTCATAAATTATACATATCACTAAGCATAATGGGTGACTTCATGCAACCCCCATACCAAAACCAGGCAAATCACCACATCATGGTTTAGCCTTAGGTGTGAACCAGGTCAGTGTCTGCTTCCGCCTGATTCTGATAAGCCGCCCAAGTGGAATAGCTGCCAAATTCTGAATTTACTTCTAGACACACTTGAGCCAATGTCAGGCCCATTGCTGACACATGCTAAATGTTGAATTCTGCATATCGCCATGCCTTCACATAACCCTTGCGAAAGGCCCCTGGCCAACTTTCTCTATTAAAATCCTTGCTCCAGGCTTTCCTTCAGCGGGCTGGGTGGTGAGTGAACTCAACCTGATCTTGCTTTAAATAGCCCATCGCCCCTGATAGTGGTGTATTCCAAGAATTTCTCCTTGGCCTCTGCTAATGGTTTTATAAAGATCATACCCAAGACATACATACTGAGTCATTGTGAAGCCTCCTTCCCTCTTCAACCTCATCAGGTATCAAGAATCTGAGAACTAGTTGGAAATAACAAGATGCCCTGCAACACGAGCTGTCTTTCCTTCAAGTGTCTCCACCCCATTTTGCCCTTGTGGACAGGTTACATGTCATAAATAAATTATGGCTAAAGTGGGAGTGGGTAGATAGATGTTTACATTCGGAAAGAGTGACAGAAATAACAGCCAGCTCCAGGGGAATGCTGCTAAGTCCTCACAAGCTCTGGGCGTGCTTGTACGCGCATGTTTAAAATTCTAGTGCTATTGCTCTAAAAGAAAGCCATTTTGGAGAGATTCTGAGTATGGTGCTTAGAAGGTGGCTAAAAAGAGGGGCTGCCCCCATTTTCGCTGCACAAACATTTTTTGATCGTCCTTTATGACCTGTCACCCATCTATTAAATTCCCAAGTAAGATGTCAAAATGAATTCTTGCCATGAGAGTTTGCTCAACAAATATGCCTCTTAGCACGATCAAGGGAAGCACCTGTTTTTTAGAAAATGTTGGAAAACTTCTTCGTTCTCTTCACAGATAAATCTTTTTGGTTTTTCAATGTTTGATGGAGAATTACAGGGTAATTTCAAAGTTGGACTTGACAAACTACATTATTCTTGTCCCCAGTAGAAATAAGTCTACTAATTCTGAGTGCAAAATTTACATCTCATGCCCTCCCTAACATGCCTCTGTCTTACCCTATTGCTCTTCAGCAATGATAATAGAGAAGCCTTTTTAAAGGTCTGTTCTCCATTTTTGTCTGGATGGGTGAAACTTCTGTTGGAAGACTTTTATTCATTCTGAACATTTCTGAACCTCCGTCCTTTCCATTTCCCAATTCTCGAAAGCAGTTTGAAAATTACCTTCACTCAGAAACACTGAGGACAAGATTAAAAAAAAAACACTGCCATGCTAAGAAAAATCTCCCAGCCTTCTCTGTCCAAAAAGAAGAGAAAAAAATTAAAAACCAAAACAGCTTCTTGGTGTTCTGCAGCTGCTTAGTCTCCTGCCAAGAAAAATGTAAAATTAACAGACTCTTGTTGATTTCATCCATAATTATTGAGTGGAAGCTCTCAAGCCAAATACTTACAGGATCTGGTAGTAGACCTTGTAGGAGGACAGTTGTCTTAGTCTATGGTAGCAAATGTTATTAATTTTAATTTATTATTGATACAAGTTACAACCTATACT